CAGGCGCGGGAACCTCGACCTAGTCGACATGTGCACCGTGGCATCGACCAACAACATGCGCGTCGTATTCCTCGGCGAACTCAACGGGGGGCTCAGCATGGGTTGCGCGACGGGCATGCTGTGCAACCAGTTCCAGCCTGCGCCGATGAAGGACTGGACTGAGCCAGCTCGGGCGCTCAGAGTACTCGGGGGGTACGTGGGCACGTATGAGGACTTCGTCGAACACGAAATCCGGCTGGGCATTTCGTCGCCCGCATGTGGTGCGAAAACCAGGGCATGGCGGCGGGCATTGGGTGTGATAGCCAGGCTGCGTGGGTCCCCCACCCCGGGTCCACGTCTCATCTCTCCGATATTCTGGGATCCGATATTCTTTGAGTTGAAGTAATCTGGCCACCATCGCCTGAGCCATTCTCGCACATGCTTGCCGCCGAAATTTGCCCCGCCAGATTTTGCCTCCCGCGCGGCTGCCGCCATCGCCATCATTATCATCAGCGTGGCCTTCCTCGTCCTCATCCTGAGACATCCTCGCAGCGCTGACCTCTGATATTCTTCCCTGCCCCAACTTGTGCTGGCCAGTTCCGCCTGCGCAAAAACTCGCAGCGTTGACCTGGGATGCGCCCTGCCTTCACGTAGTCTGACCCCCGATCTTCCCCGAGATGCGGTGTTCAGGCCACTTGCGCCTGAGACGCCCTCGCACCTCTGACTTCGGAGGTGCCCTGCCCCGTGGCGGTCCGGCCACTGTCGCTTGCGACATCCTCGAAACAGTGGCTTCCGAGACGCGTGGAGCTGACCTGTTCAGGCCACTTTCGCATGAGACACCCTCATAACTCTCGGTTTCCCGCCGCAAGATCACCTGGCGGAAGCCTCCCGGGTGATCCTAATTGTGTCCCTCAAGCGGCCCTGTTGAAGCTGTCCTGGAGCCGCCCTGGCCCTCTCCGATGGCCCTAGGGAAAGCCTGAGAGAGCCCCAAGACGACCGAAGAGGGATCTCTGGGTTCTGATTTAGCCCTCTGGGATCCTTCCCAGGGCTTCGCGACAGCTCCAAGGGCACTCACTCAGAGGCCCTCGTGGAGTGTTGTTGTTTGCGGTCTTGGCTCAAGCAGTTTCGTTGGGCGGCCGCGCGGATGCGCCGCCGCGCGAGCGTGCCCCCTATCGGGCACCCGCCGCCGCACCTAGTGCGCGCTGCGTCGCAGCGCGGGCCGAGGCCCCCAGGCGGCCCCCCGCCGCCGCACCTGTCGCGGGCGCCGCCCGCAGCACCATCGAGGTCTCGATCCCCAGGGGAAGGCCAGCCCGAGAGGGGCCTGAGCCGAGTGGAGAGCAGGGCCCGACCACGCCCCAGCCAAGGAAGGGGGGCGGCCTCGGCAGCGCGGGGCCCTCCGCCCCAGCCGAGCAGCAGGCCCCGCCCCAGCCGAGCAGCAGGCCTCGGCAGCGCGGGGCCCTCTGCCCTGGCCGAGCAGCACCAGGACGAGGGAGGAGGCGGCGAGTCGACACCACCGAGCCCCCGCGCGAGCGAACTGGACCTCGAGGGCGAGGCGGGACCGCAGGCGGCGGCGCAGCCTGATCCGAGCGCTGCGTCGCCGCGCGGGCCGACGCCCCCAGGCGGCCCCCCGCCGGCCCACCTGCTGCGCGCTGCGTCGCCGTGGAGTGGCCCCGCCGGCTTTCTCCGGGGCCCCATCGTTTGGCGGTGTCCAGCGACGGGCGAGGAGTTGCGCTACTTCGCCGCCAGGGTGGCGCCCTCCAGTTGCGGGGTTGACGCGGATGAGCCGCCTGAGAACGGGCCGCTCGAGGAGGGGCCGCTGTTGCTCTACCTCGCCGGCCTCGGGGGCGAGGGCGGCGACGCGAGAGCGCCGTTCGCCGGGAAGCTCAAGGCCATGATGAGCTGGGGACTGCCGCCGTTTCGATTCCTCGCGCCACTGCGGCCGCGAGACCGGCTGTGGATCCTGGATCGAAACGACGCTGCGCGCGGCTTCCTCGGGGATCTAGTGCCCGGGAGCGTGGGCCTGCTCGCGGACTTCGTTGAGAGCTTCGCCGACGGCGGGCCCGTCGTCGCGCTCGGCTTTTCCGCCGGCGCTTACTGCATCAATGAGCTCCTGGCGCACGGGCGGCCGCGCATGGAGGCGGTGGCCTTGGGGGGTCTCCACGGCCGTGGGCAGCCCTATTTGGCTGGAGTTCCGGCGTGCACGGACCCAGTCGGGAAGTTCCAGGATTGCCTGGACCGCCCGGAGGAGCACCCAGGAGTGCCAGGTGGCATCTGGGCCGTGCACGCCGAGGACGACGACCAGTGCCCGAGTCGGTGCGCCGAGGAGGCGCTGGAGGCATTGGGGGCCCGGAATGCGCAGCAGGGCTTCCCGCGGGCGCAGCGCGCGTTGCTGCCGCCGGGCATCCCGCGGGCGCAGTACGAGAACAGCGCGCTCTGGCGAAGGGAGCTGCTCCGCGCGCTGCTGCGCGCGGCCCGCGAGCGCGGCAGCGAAGGCGCCGAGCATGTGCTGGGCGAGGTTGCTGGCGGCGCGGCCGGCGCGCCTGGCGCCGCGCGCATCTGGCTGCCGTGCGACGCCGACGCGGCCGGCGACGCGGCCTCCCAGGAGCTTCTCGCGAAGCTCCGCGAGGAGGCGGCGACGCGCCGACGCAGCCGGAGCAAGAAGCTTCGGAAAGACGCGTCGGCGCGCCGACGTGGCCTGCCGACGCGCGCGGAGAGGCGGGCGCATCTGCAGGGGTAGTGTCGCGCCCTATCAAATATGACGCGCGTCACTCCCTGCCATCGTCGCCGTCGCCGTCGAGGACGCACGTGGATGACTTGGAGGGGGGTGACGAGGGAGAGGAGAGAGTGGTCGGTGGTGGGGGGTGGCCAGAGGGGTGGCCAGAGGAGAGAGCGGTCGGTGGTGCCAGCCGTCCTGTGATATATTCGCCCCCAGCCAACCTCTGGCATGTTTGTCCCCGGCCGTCCTGTGGTATATTTGCCCCCTGCCGACCTGCGATTTGCAGATGCTCCGCGCGCAGGCGGTCTTGCGGGAAGCGAAATCTGGCAGGGCACTTCGGGCTAGGATGTTGTCGGTTTCTACCGTGCTTAGGCGGGGTGGGGGGGGGGGCTCCTTCTCCCCCTCCCCCTCCTGCTTTGCGCTTTAGGGGTTTCGCATTTCCCCTCTCCTCCTCCCCTTTCCTCCTTCTCCCTCCCCTCTCGCGGAGTCTTGTCGGGGCTCTGCTCCTCGTGGAGTCTTGTCGAGGCTCTGCGCCTGGAGCCGATCGCCGTCCGTCCCTTCGTGCAATGTGATCCAGACCGACGCAAAATGGCGCGCCAGATTTTGCCCCCCACCGACATTTGCCCCGCCAGATTCTGCCTCCCGCGCGGCTGCCGCCCATGCCCATCATTATCATCAGCATGACCTTCCTCTTCCTCATCTTGAGACATCCTCGCAACGCTGACCTCTGATATGCCCTGCCCCAAATTGTGCTGGCCATTTCCGCCCACGCAAAAACTCGCCTCGTTCACTTTGGGGGGATGTGCCCAGCCTTGAAATTGTCGGACCCCCGATCTGCCCCGGGATGCGATGTTCAGACAACTTTCGCCCGGGGCGCCCTCGCACTTCTGACTTCGGAGGTGCCCTACCCCATGGCAGTCCGACCACTTTCGCCTGCGACATCCTCGCAACAGCGGCTTCCGAGACGCCTATAGCTGACCTCTTCAGGCCACTTTCGTCTGAGACAACGACCTCGCATATGCCCTGCCCCAAGTTGGTTCGGCCACTGTCGCCTGAGACCCTCGCAGGCCCTGCACTACCCGCGCAAAGCATCGCGCGCGGCGGGAGATGCTCGGACCCCTGCGGGACTCCGCCCGCACCAGAGATTCAGGCTGATCAAGCCGAGCCGCCCCAGAGCGGGGTGCGCCGTCCGCGCCAGAGCCAAACAAAAAACTCACGCCGTCGCCGTCGCCGTCGTCGTCGTGGCGGGGGACTGACAACCAGCCGATAACCCGATAAACCGATAAACTGATATGCGGCACAGGGATCGCCTCCACAGGTTCCCCCCCAGCGGTCTCAGACCAGCCAGTCAACCGATGAACCGATAATCCGATAAACCGATAAACCGACGAAGAGAGGGGGGCGCGCCAGCAATCGCCTCTATGTTCGCATACGAAGATTATCGTTTTTTTTTTTTTCGGTTGAGCGACCGATCCACAGATAAACCGATCAAATGATATCGGTTTTTCGGTTGATCGGTTTGCAAACCGTTCAACCGATTAGTTTTTATCGGTTGGTCGGTTTATCGGTCGGATGGATTTCCGGAAGCCGTTGCCGCTGCACTCGGAATTCATATTTCGGATGGACGATGGGGCAAATTTACACATGTAAATTGCAATGCGAAAAGGGGAACCGATAATCCTGGAGGGGGGTAGAGGTAGACCTCGAGGAGATGCAGGCCGGGGCCCAGCGCGTGGTCGGCTGCGGCCGCTGGAAGCGCAAGGGGGCCATCCACGGCCTTGAGGGTGCTGCTCTGACGCGGGCCGCGAGGCGCGCCGCTTGAGTCGCGCGCCAGCACAGCTCACACAGGCTTCTCATTGATGACAGCGCGTCTCTCACTCTGGCTGCGAAGTGGCGAACGGCCCATCATCGTCTCCTGGGAGTCTCCCGTGTGTTGTTTGTCGTCGGAGTCGCACCCGGCTTGAAGAGTCTGGTCATATCGGTTCCGTCATAATGGAATCCAAGCGACGCCCCCTCCCGCCGCTTCCAGCCGAGGCCGCGGAGTGCCGAGGGCGCGCCGAGCGGCGCCTGCGCCGCCCGCGGCTCGCGCGGGGCCGCGTGGAAGTGCCGACGCTGAGGGCAGGGCTGCCCGCGCCAGTGGCAAGGCCGAGCTGCCGTTCCGTGCCTCGCGAGCCGAGCGCGCGCAGGAGGCGCTCGCCCAGCCGACGTCCCCCGCCGCGGCGAGCCGCCGCGGTGCCGGCGCTGGCTGGGCCAAGGAACGTGCCAGACTTGGTTGGGCGGCCCTCCTTCGGTGAACGACTCCGACATGAAGAGGCGCCGCCTGTGCCCTCGCCAGACGCGGCTGGCAGCCGCCAAGGTGCGCTCCCGGACGCAGGAACTGCAGCTGAGGACCATCCTTCGCTTGGTGCGCTGGTTGGGCTCGGGCTGCCTCCTGGACTGGAACCGCCAGGTCTTGGGCGAAACCCTCGCGGAGTACATCGAGTCGGTCTACGACCGGGGAGGCTCCAAATCGGCGGCGCAGCGAATGGCGGCACTGCTCTGGGCGGAACCCGCATTTCACAAGGCGGGGATCCGCGAGGTGTTCCCACTGTCATTCCAGACGCTCACGGGCCGGGGCGTGCCAGAGCCGTCCAAATCCCAGCCGCCCGTGCCTTTCCTCGCGGCGCTGCCGGCTGCTGGCTGTGCCAAGCAGGGGGGCCTGTGAGCGGGCGCGCCATCCTCATCACGCTCGAGACCTACATGCGCCCGTCGGAGGTCCTGGCGCTGAGGGCCAGGCAGGTCGTCTTCCCGCTGCCGAAGGAAGGAGGAGCATCAGCCTTCTGGACCTTTGTGGTGCGAGCGTCGGAGTGCGACACCCCGACAAAAACCAACGAGTACGATTTGTCCGTGCTTCCCGACCTGCAGAGGCAGCAGTGGTTCGTGGACCCTATCGGTTTCGTGCAGGGCTTTCGCGAGCCAGGCGAGCTGTTCCTAGGCCTGACCTACTCGGAGCTGGCTCAGGGTTTTCAGGACGGGGCCGCCGCGCTGGAGCCCACCCTTTATTCCCTCTGGCATGGAGGGGCCAACCGCGCCCGGAGCGTGGGCGCCAGAGGCTTGGGCGCCACGCAGCAGAGAGGATACTGGAAGGCCTTCAAGTCAGTGGTGCGATACGAGAAGCACGGCCGTTTGTGCCTCGAGCTTCGCAAGTTAACACACGAGCAGAGAGAAACACGTCGAGCCTTAGGACAGGACTACGCTCGCGTCTTCAACAAGCCTTTGATGCAGCCAGCACTCCGCTCCGCGGCGCACCAGACCCGAGCGCGTATCGAAGTGTTCCCTGGCTGCGGTGATGATTAAGCATCTGAGGCATGGAAGAGAGACTGTGATTGAGTGGGATGTTCGCGACGGTTCCCATTCTGATTTGACGCGTCCCAAACTTTGGAGGATCCTGAGAGGCTGGCTGGCATCAGGTCTCGTGAAGCTCATCTTCTTGGGGACCCCATGTAGAAGCTCCGCAGGGCCCCCAGTAGTAGTAAGATGCCATCGGCTTTGGAGGGGCGTCGCCTTCCCAACGGGGCCCCCAGAGCCCTCGGGCAAGGAACTCGCGAGCCTCCAGCTGTCAAATAAACTTGGGTGGGCCTCTTAGCGAATTCAACGCCTCTGTTATACATTCAACATTCCAGGAGCGGATGAAAACCCGTGGCAAAGCTTCCTATGGGTTCGTGCTGATCGTCGCTCCTTCGCTAGGCTTCCTCCGGTTTGAGATACGGTTGTGGATTATTGTGTCTGCGGTCGTCTTTTTCGTGCCCACACTCGCGTCATACTCTGGAAGTGTAGCGCTCACCCTGGCCTCAGTAAATGCATGTCCGCTTGCAACGGGCTATGTAGTTTCTCGGGGAAGCCCAATGTGGAGCTTACGGGTTTTTTCCAATGGCAAACTTAGCACGCGAGTGACGAATGCGTGCCTTCCTCCCCTGTGTGCACTCCTGGCGGATACATGGCACACAGCTCGTGTAGCCCATCTGACCATTGAAATATGGAAGCACTTGCGGGATGAAGCCCCAGTGCGATGTCTGAGTGTGGGCTCCTGAGGGATGGCAATCCTGCGTCGCACTAGCCAGCCTTGTTTGTCGTTCGAATCCTCAAGCAGTCTGAGCTTTTGGCAAAGAAGCATGGAAGCGATGCAGGTAAATGATTGTAAATGTCTGCCGCCTTTATATGTCAAGGCGCTTCTCTTCGGCCCTCGCCAGCCCACCACTTCTCCTACTTTGCAGTGCCCGAGGCAATCCTGTGTCGCACTAGCCAGCCTTGCCTGCCCACGCATCGCTTCGTTCGAATCCTCAAGCAGTCTGAGCCTTGTTGGCAAAATAAACAATCATGTCTCTTGACAATTATTGGGGCCTGTTCGGGTGTATTTGGTGCCTCGGGAGAGCCTCTTGGGGCCTCTTGGGGGTCTTTCGGGCGTTTCCTAAGGACCTTTTGGAGGCCTCTTGGGGCCTTCTTGGCGCCCTTGGGGATCTCTTGGGGCACTCTTAAGAGCCTTGGGGGCCTCTTGGGGCCATCGTGGAGGAGATCGGTCAAATGAGGGGGGGGTGCAAAATTCTCCCCCCCCCGGAGGCCACAATTGGGCCAAAATTCAAGTAACATTCGTGACTTTGGCCATCCAACCAGTGTGTCGCGAACCCCCCCGTCCAGGTCCAGGGCGGGGGGTGCGGGGGAAGGGTCGAGACACCCTTCTCGCCCGCAAGCTGTCTCGCTCAATCCCACCCGCTCTCCCAACACAGAACTAGTACCCGAGCCTCAGCATGTTCGGCGGCCGTCTTTGGACAGACAGCTTTGCAGAACCAAAACAACCCCCTTGTGTGCAACGCTGAGGCGAGGCGCGCCACGCGTACCGGGCGCGCCATGCGCGCCAGGTGCGCCAGGCACCCCTGGGGTTTAAGCGTGCAGCGCACGCCTGGCGCACCAGATGCGCCACGTGCTCCACGTGCGCCGTGTGTGCCGCGTGCTTCAAACGCGCCAGGTGCGCCAAGCTCGGGACACGCGCAGAATGTGCTAGGTGCGCCCGCGCACGTGACAGCACACATCGGGAAACACGTCGGCCCAAACCATCCTTGTCGAAAGCCAATGCGCAACCGCGGCGGGGAGGCTATGGTGGTAACTGGCGGGCCCGCGCACAGGACACAATATGCCAGCACCCCCGCGTTCCTTGTCAGAAACCAATGGACAGTGATCGCGTGGTGGCCGCGCAGAATCCAGATTTCGCCGCAAAGTGCCTTTAGCATTGTTTTTTTGCGGCAGGGATGGTGGCCTTGCGCACAGCAGGCAATACGAGGGACCCCCGCCGTCCCTGTCAACAAACAGTGAACAGTGCTCGCGATGCCCACCATCATGATCCAAGATGTTGCCCAGTGTTGGACAGGGAAAACGAACCAGAGTGTACCCCCTCGGGCAAGGCTTGGGGGATGAGGCCCACGCGCGCACGACATTTTTTGTCTCTGCGAACGTCCGCCCGGCTGTCGGCCCCCCTCTCGTGCCTACTCGCCTTTTCAGTGTTCGTTCCTCTTGTTTGTCTCTTCCCACCTGACGGCGGGCAGCCAACTCTTGGCGGTCTAGCGTCGACGATTCGGCCTGCTGGCTGCGCCAGAGATGTTTATCCGGCCTTCCTGGCGTAACGTCGTTCGGGTGTACCGTCGCGAGGATTCTGAAGAGTTCCGACCAGAAGATATGCCGGCCGGGATTATTTGCGATGTGTGGCGGACGAACAACAAGATTTTGCATTGTGTTTTGATTGGGGTGGTGGTGGGGTGTGTGTCATTGGCTCGGGTTGGCTGCTGGTAGCCTTGGTGAGGGGTGCTTACTCATAGGGAGCCGTGATAAGCCCCTCCCCGAAGGGAAATAATTGGATTGGAAGTGGAAGCTCGCTAAACCACTCGCGCCCTAAGGGCTGGTGGGATTAGAAGCTTCAGCATGAGGGAAGAGCAGAGGGAGGAGGAAGACAGGAGTTGGAGATGGGTGAGGATCACTTGCAGGAGGAGGGGTTGGGCTGCAGGAAGAGGAAAAGCAGGACTGACAGAGGTGGAGGAGTCGATCGTATGGGTTCGCCCAGGTCAGGCTGGCTCGTGCGTTTGCCCGCTGACCTGGGGCTGCCTGGCGGTTCTAGGTGCTGACGCTGCGCGGTGCCCACCGCGCTGCAGTTGGGTGCGGTTGATCGTGCCCTTCCGCCCGCACAGCGGCAGCCCCGCGCCACCCAGGCACCACGTTTTTCGACGTCCACAATCCCGCCACAGGGAAGCTGATCGCCCGCACGCCCCAGTGTACGCCCGAGGACCCCTCCTGCCACTCATCCGCCTCCCTCCCGCTTCCCCTTGTCCCTCCCTCCCCCTCCGCTGCAATCCTGCTCCTGCTCTTCCACAATTGCACAATGTGACTACTACTCTCCTCTCTCCCCCGATGACGTCCGGAAGATGTCTGGCCCCCCTCTGCGTATTGTTTTTTACACAGGGTTCCAGGGAGTTGGGTTTTCGCTTTGTTTTTTTTCAAAATGTTGCTCTTGCTGACGCGCTGGCCTCATTTCGGCGCTTCCGCTCGTTCCGAATCGTGCTCCCGCTTCAGCGCTGGCCTCCTTTCCGCGCTTCAGCTCGTTCCAAATCGTGATCCCGCTGCAGCGCTGGCCTCATTTCCGCGCTTCCGCTCGTTCCAGATCGTGCTCCCGCTGCAGCGCTGGCGTTATCATTTCCAGTGCCATGCCACGCCATGCAATGCAATGCTGTGTGGTGTTCCGCTGTGCGATGCAATGCCTTCAGCTGCCATGCTAGGATCTGCAGTGCTTGACTACGCAGTGCCACGCCATGCTACGCTTTGATCTTCAACGCCATGCTATGCCATGTTGTGTTCTGTGCCGTTGTGCGATGCCATTATTTGCGTTGCAATGCTTTGTGATGCAATTCTTCACTACGCAACGCCACGCCATGCTATGACATACTACGCTCTGCCGTGCTCTTGTACGCCCTGTTATGCCGTGTTCTACGATGCATCGCGCACCTTCTCGGGATCATTGCCCTGCTCGACTCCCGACTGTGCGAATAGAAAGGATACCTACGCCATGGTAAGGGATGGGAGGGAGGAGTAAGACGTCAGATATGACGCGAGCGCACCTAGCTCCCCCCCCCTTGTGCTCGCTGCTCCCTCTCTCCCCTCTCCACTCCTCCCCTCTCCTGCCTACCCTGTCTCTTTCTTCCTGTTACTCCCTCCCTCAGTTCATCCCCCTCCTTTGGCCCGTCCAGCTCCACATGGTTCACGCCCATCCCCCCGTCCGTAACGAATCGTTTTCGGGCCCTGGGACCGCAAGAACGATCCGTGGCGAAAGAAAAATTTGCCCCAGGGCGAAGTCGCGACGTGGGTGATGCCTCGCATTCCCCCCCTCCTCCATTCCCCCACTGCAGGTCATCCTCCTTCCCCTTCCCCTCCGCCCCTCCTCATTCAGCTCTCCCCGTTCGCTTCTTTTCAGCCTTCCTCGGTGTGTTCTGAAACAGCTACACCCGTGACAATTAGCGAACAACATGATTTGTTGGTGCGCTCACATGTACGGGCATGCAGCGAACTGTTGCAACAAACGAGAGTGACGCATATCACGTCCATGTCAAGGGCGCATCTTCCGGAAGACAGCAGGACGGACTTAATTCCCGTCCAGCATGTGGTTAAGTGTTATGGGCATCTTCATTT